CTGAAAAAATTCTAGCTGTGCTGTTTTATTTACTAGGAATGATTTCTTCTTCTTTGAAGGTATTGCACATCTAAATTTGTTCTCGGATAGTTTTCCACCGGTTTAACTTGGAACACCGTCATAAGCTTTCCAACTAGCTTTGATTCATGCTAATCAGTGTCTCTGAGTCAAAAGATGTTGCATTTTGAAGATCGGAGACTGCAAGTATTTCACGAAAAACCAAACCTAATTTTTGCTTTGGAATGTCTTTTTTGAAATTTATAAAGAAACATTAGTCTGGTATTAGAGAGTATTGTAATGTAAACCATTTCTTCTGGTTGAGAAACTTACTCTAAGCCAGTTATGATGTTATTGGAGAATGATGTTATTGGAGTCGGCTCGATCATGGTGGGTCCGGACTCCGGAACTAGCCAAGCTAACTGATCAATTTATCATCACCGTTTTCTGGTTGCGTACTAGTTGTCACTTGTCAAAAACACGTTTGTATTATTTTATGCTTCTCAATGGTTTTTATCACTTTATGTTTTTAAAGGGGCCATTATTGGTTTGATTCAGTTGATGGTGATACTGATGTACATGTCTATAATGGAGTCATCGCTGGATCATACATAATAGGGGTGGAACGGATCCGAATATCCTGGAATTTCAAGGTATCCGGATCCGGATCCGTGAAAAAAAACTATCCGGATTCGGAATCGGGACTTCCGGATATCCGGCAAAAAAAACGGATATCTGGATCCGGATCTGAAATTAATATTAAAAATAATTAATAAATAAAAATATATTTTTAAAAAATTATTAATTAATATTTTAAATGATATTTTCATTATTAATATAATTTATTATAAAAAAAAACTAAAATCAATTTTTATATATATTTATTTATATAAAATTAGCTTAATCATATATAATATATATGTTTTAAATATATTTAATGCGTCCAGATCTGCATCCGGATATCCGGACCTTAAAATTTTGTTATCCGGATCCAGATTCTCTTTTCACGGATCCTAGATTTTACTATCCTTATCCGGATCCGGACTCCCCGAATATCCTAATTTTCGGAGTGATTCCGAACGGATAACGGATCGGTTCTCGGATCCCGGTTAATAATTCTACCCCTAATACATAATGGTGCTTCCTGGGTACTAATCACGTTTTAAACTCAAGCATCACATATGAACATTCATTATTCACTAACATATACATAAGTATGTCTACTGAGGAAATCTACAGCTTAATAAATGGCTGATTAATATAGGTGGCCCTTATTAAAGCTAACTTTCTTGTTGGTTAGCCATTACTTTTAGTAAAACTAGAATAATTTAATGTAACTATATAGTAGATCATTGTGCATAGAAAAAAAGAGAATATGCTTTTAAAAGTAGTATCTCGATCATATATAGACTTTGTTTGATAATATAGTCACTACACTTGACCTGCTTGTCTACTAGTATTAAGTACAGTACAAAAACATTACCAAATTATTACAAATTATGGAACTATGAAACAACCCTTTTGATAATTAAAAAAAATCACAAGACGCCAAAAGAAAGATACAACCAATCAGTAACAATAGTGTCTATAGCTTTATATGGACTGATCTTTAGCATATATATATGGTAAAGATATCATAATTGGGCGATTTCCTCATATGTATAACCAATTTAATCAACCAACTTTAAGATTAACATTTTCATATAAGAAACGTAGACGACTTTTATTCATGAGGGTCACAAAGGAAGATAGTCTTAAAGTCGTAACTACAAAATCAAATCAAAACTCAGGAATGTCGGAAATTTCTTCAACTCTACGACTACTAGTGAGAAAGTCAAACCAAAACTCCATGTTATGGTTATACAATTTCGAATATCCCTTATCATTTATATCTAATGACCCCTCCCAAATTTCTATCTTTTTCTCTTGATTCTCATCTCCTGAAATGTTGCAATCCATTGATACGACTTCTGACCAAAAGCTCTCATCTATCAATCCATGAAGATCTTTAGATGACGTCGCAGAATCT